TACAAGGAAAGGGAATAAGCAGGTATGGCAGTGTTACACCTCTACACTTTGGTAGATCACATCCTACTCTCTGATGGTGACACAACACCTCACTTTCCCACAGGTGGAATCTCCTACAGAAGGGTGGCCAGTCTTGTTTTGACTTGGGTGGGTGTTTTACTCCTTCTCATGGGTGGTTATTCACTTTTGCCTAGGTGGGTCACCATGCCCCCAACCTTTGTAATGACACCACTATGTTGAAGGATGTACCACCTGTGCAAACCATGCAGTGACACTGGGGCTTCCTGGTAATGACTCCCCTCTGTGGGCACCCAGGTAGAACATACATTGTGTGTACACCATGCATCTGCACATGGGCCCCCTGGTAATTATACTACTCTACCTGGGCACCCAAGGAGGTCATACCATTTATACAAACCATGCAGTTGTACAGGGGCCCTCTGGATGTAGAGTGGTGTCATTACAAATGTATACTACATGTGGGTCAAATGTATTCTAAAACCCCTCAAACAAATTGTCGGTGTGCACACAGTGTTAATACTCAGCAAGTAGTTGACTGGAGGCCAATAACTGGGTCTTGTATAGTGGCCTACCCAGCACTGGTTGGTACAACTGGCCATTACCTAACTCCACCCCGAGTCTGGGGGCACCAACCACACAACGCTCAGCATTACAACTCACCAACTACAGAGGGGAGTGGAGTCACACCAGGCAAAAGGACATCACACCTGCACACCCAGGCACCGGAGATCACATCTGGGCACAAGGCATCAAACCCAGACACACAGGCACAGGACATCACACCCGCGCACTCGGGCACAGGACATTACACCCGCACACAGAGTATCACACCTGGACATCACACCCGCACACCCGGGCACAGGACATTACACCCGCACACCCAGGCACAAAACATTACACCCGCACACCCAGGCACAGAACATTACACCCGCACACCCAGGCACAGAACATTACATCCGCACACAGCACATCACACCCAGGCACAGGGCATTACACCTGCACATCTGGGCACAGGGCATCACACCCAGGCACAGGACATCACACCCATGCACCTTGCACAGGACATTACACCCAGGCACATGACATTACTTCTGCACACAGAACATCACACCCACACACCAGGACACAGGATATCACACCTGCACACAGGAATCACACCGGGGCACAGGGCATGACACCCGACATCACATTACACCCGCACACCCAGGCACAGAACATTACACCCGCACACCCAGACACAGAACATTACATCCGCACACAGCACATCACACCCAGGCACAGGGCATTACACCTGCACATCTGGGCACAGGGCATCACACCCAGGCACAGGACATCACACCCATGCACCTTGCACAGGACATTACACCCAGGCACATGACATTACTTCTGCACACAGAACATCACACCCACACACCAGGACACAGGATATCACACCTGCACACAGGACATCACACCGGGGCACAGGGCATGACACCCGACATCACATTACACCCGCACACCCAGGCACAGGACATTACACCCTACATCTCTATGCGAAGATCAACAGTTGCTTCTTCCAGCTGTTATGGGGGAACAGACTGAACTTCATTAAGAGGTCTGTAACCTACCTTCCCAGGCGGACGGGTGGCCTAGGTATGGTCAACCCGGTTGTTTTCTTTTCTCTGTTTTTGAAACATAACTTTGGTAGCATGCTGGCAGAGGAACCGCCTGGGTGGGTTGGTATTTTTCAGTCCTGATTTAGGCCTTTGCTTCAGAGCTGGGAGAATGGTGGGCCAGTGAAAAGCCTGGGGGTCCAACATGGTAAGCTCCCGGCTTATGTTGCCCCATGCCTGAAAATGCTCCGGCAATGGCAAGTGACAGCGGAGGAAATTAAGTCTCTTCCTAGGAAGGCCCCGGAGAGAAGGGTTGTTGAATTTGCCTTTAGCGAAACATTGGCCTGGAGGGATTGCTCAGGCCCTTTTATGATGGAGGGTCTGCATTAGATGAATCTGGAGAAAATCCCTTTAAAGTTTCAGGATTTGGCCTGGCTCTCCTTCCATGGCAGACTCTATGTGAATGGCAACCTGAAGCATCGCTCTGCGGAGAATCGTGGTTGTCCAAGAGTGGAGTGCAGTGGGTTGGAGGAGACGATGGACCATTTCTTGCTTCAGTGCCCCTTCAATATAGAAGTCTACAAGCAGGTGGGTAGGGCTCTGGGTATCCCTTTCCTTTCTCACTTGAGTTACGCGGAGTGGTCTTACGGTGCCATTCAAACTCTCCGGGACTTTGATTTTGAGACACTTTTTCTAGTTAGCTTAGTAGTCCATTACTACACATGGAATGCACAGTGTCAGGTTTCCATTTGCAAAAAAGTCCTTCCTGTCAAGGTGGTGGTGAACAACATTCTGGGTGAGGTTGGGAAGATTCGGGGTCTTGAGAAGGACAGGTGGTGGCCGGGAGCCTGGACAAAGCCATGGAGGAAAGTTAGGTCCCCGTAGCTGCTGTCAGTCTCTGGGGGCGTGGCTTCTCTCTGTCCTCTCATGTCCCCTAGATTTTTGTAAAATCAGATTTTTGAAGAAAGGCTGCATGCATCAATGTTTAATTGTTTCTTAGCCTGAGGGGGTGTTCAGGTGACGGTCCGGTTTGTGGAGATACATTATAAAGATGATAATAAGTAAAATGATTGGTTCTGTTTACGTTTTTCCCGGCAAAAAGAAAAAGGCGTTTTTTCTATGCTGAAGTAAGTGATTTTTGTTTAATTATATCTATTAATTTTATTTATTCTGTATACATGTAAATATTTTTTTTTTTACTATGTTGCTTGTTTGTAAGCTTTTTAATAAACAAAAAATTACACCCTACATCACATTACACCCACACACCAGGGCACAGGATATCACACCCACATACCTGGGCACAGGACATCACACCCACACACCCGGGCACAGGACATCACACCCACACACCCGGGCACAGGACATCACACCCACACACCCGGGCACAGAACATCACACCCGGGCACAGGACATCACACCCACATACCCGGGCACAGGACATCACACCCACACACCCGGGCACAGGACATCACACCCGGGCACAGGACATCACACCCACACACCCGGGCACAGGACATCACACCCACACACCCGGGCACAGGACATCACACCCACACACCCGGGCACAGGACATCACACCCACACACCCGGGCACAGGACATCACACCCGGGCAGAGGACATCACACCCACATACCCGGGCACAGGACATCGCACCCACACACCCAAGCACAGGACATCACACCCGGGCACAGAACATCACACCCACACACCCGGGCACTGGACATCATACCTGGGCACAGGACATCACACCCACACCCCCAAGCACAGAACATCACACCCGGGCACAGGACATCACACCCAAGCACAGAACATCACACCCGGGCACAGGACATCACACCCACGCACCTGGGCACAGGACATCACACCCACGCACCTGGGCACAGGACATCACACCCGGGCATAGGACATCACACCCGGGCACAGGACATCACACCCACGCACCTGGGCACAGGACATCACACCCGGGCACAGGACATCACACCCACGCACCCCGGGCACAGGACATCACACCCACGCACCCGGGCACAGGACATCACACCCACGCACCCGGGCACAGGACATCACACCCACACACCAGGGCACTGGACATCACACCCACGCACCCGGGCACTGGACATAATACCTGGGCACTGGACATCATACCCGGGCATAGGACATCACATCCACACACCCGGGCACAGGACATCACACCCGGGCACAGGACATCACACCCGGGCACAGGACATCACACCCACGCACCCGGGCACTGGACATCATACCCGGGCACAGGACATAACATCCACACACCCGGGCACAGGACATCACACCATCACACCCGAGCACAGGACATCACACCCGGGCACAGGACATCACACCATCACACCCGGGCACAGGACATCACACCCGGGCACAGGACATCACACCATCACACCCGGGCACAGGACATCACACCCGGGCACAGGACATCACACCCGGGCACAGTAACACAAGCCTGTCTTTGTAGTAGCGCCAACCTATACCATAGCGGCTCCGTGCCCCTGTACGTCAGTGCGGTGGATGTGCCCCATGTCGGTGATCACCCACCTGCCAGGCTGTTATAACAATCCACCTCGATGCTCTCCACCGCCCTCCTCTGCTCCTCGGTGATCCCGGGCTGTGTGGCGGCCGCACTGTCCTGCTCCCCGGGGAGCCCCTTCAGCTCCAGCAGAGCCCGGTGATACTTGCCGATGGCCTCCCGGTACTTCTTGTCCTTGTAGCACTGCGCCCCCTGGCTCTTGAAGTCCATGGAGCGATGGATGAGCTGGCACGGGTCTCCTCGGATGGCGGCGGTGACCCCGGTCCGATCCATGTCCGCCGGGCGCCGCTTACATGCCGAGAATCCGCCGATCGGAGGAGAAGCCAGGGATCGGTCCGGGGATCGGAGAGCACGGCGTCTATACAGAGCAGACACAGCACAGCCCAGCCCCCGCCCCGCCGGCCCCTTCCTCCCCTGTTAAAGGGACAGTCCGCATCACTCTGCTGTCATTGTCACCGACCACCGACCCGTCCTCATCTATGGTGTCGCCCACGGACACCTCCACATGTCACCAGTCATGTGCAGACAACAATATGAACAAATGCCATGGGTTTCTTATGTAGAGATTCTGTTGTATTTGGTGCAGTGTATTTGATGTTCTTTGTGTTTTTTATGTATTTCTTATTTCTGTCACTTCACATTTTTTTTAACGACTTCCAGTCCAGGCCAATTCTTCTGTCATTTTTCTCATACACAGAAAATCAGCATTTTTTTGTGCTAGAAAACTACACTATATTGCCAAAAGTATTGGGCCATTCCTCTATATCATTGGGTTCAGGTGTTCCAATCACCTCCATGACCGCAGGTGTATATAATCAAGCACCTAGGCATGCAGACTGCTTCTACAAACATTTGTGAAAGAATGGGTCGCTCTCAGGAGCTCAGTGAATTCAAGCGTGGTACCGTGATAGGTTGCCACCTGTGCAATAAGTCCATCTGTGAAATTTTTCCTTGTTACTAAATATTCCACAGTCAACTGTTAGTGGTGTTATAACAAAGTGGAAGCAACTGGGAACAACAGCAACTCAGCCACGAAATGGGAAGCCACGTAAAATGACAGAGCATGCTGAAGCGTACAGTGTGCAGAAGTCGCCAACTGTCTGCAGAGTCAATAGCTAAAGACCTCCAAAAATCATGTGGCCTTCAGATTAGCACAACAGTGCATAGAGAGCTTCAAGGAATTGGTTTCCATGGCCGTGTAGCTGCATCCAAGCCTTACATCACCAAGTGCAATGCAAAGCGTCAGATACAGTGGCGTAAAGTACGCTGCCACTTGACTCTAGAGCAGTGGAGACATGCTCTCTGGAATGACCAATAACGCTTCTCTGTCTGGCAATCCAATAGACATGTCTGGGTTTGGCAGTTGCCAGGAGAACGGTACTTGCCTGACTGCATCGTGCCAAGTGTAAAGTTTGGTGGAGGGGGGATTATGGTGTGGGGTTGTTTTTCAGGGGATGGGTTTGGCCCCTTAGTTCCAGCAAAGGGAACTCTTAGGGCGTCAGCATACCAAGACATTTTGGACAATTTCATGCTCTCAACTTTGTGGGAAGAGTTTGGGGATGGCCCCTTCCTGTTCCAACATGACTGCATACCAGTGCACAAAGCAAGGACCATAAAGACATGGATGAGTGAGTTTGGGGTGGAGGAACTTGACTGGCCTGCACAGAGTCCTGACCTCAACCCGATAGAACACCTTTGGGATGAAATAGAGCGGAGACTGCGAGCCAGGCCTTCTCGCCCAACATCAGTGCCTGACTTCACAAATGTGCTTCTGGAAGAATGGCCAAACCATTCCCATAGACACACTCCTAAACCTTGTGGACAGCCATCCCAGATAAGTTGAAGCTGTTATAGCTGCAAAGGGAGGGCAAACTCAATATTGAACCCTACAGACTAGGATTGGGGTGCCATTAAAGTTTATGTGCGTGTGAAGGCAGGCGTCCCAATACTTTTGGCAATATAGTGTTTGTTCCTGACTTAGAAAGGCAACTGATACTAACAGCAAAAGGTAGACTGCTATTGCTGACCTTTTCTAAAAATGCTAGCTACCTCGTTGTTCATGGCTTCCAAACTTTGAGAAGCTGACCTGGGACAAACATTAAAGTGGTTCTCCAGCTTCCTGTAAAAAAAATTAAAAGTCAGCAGCTACAAAACCATAGCTGCTTATTTAAAAAAAAAACAGCCCCTCACCTGTCCCACAGTCCAGCGATATCCTCACCCCAGACATTCTTTCCAGTGGTGTCCTATCCCTGGAGCCGGCATCTCAACTCTGGGCTTTGACAGCTTGTGGCTTCACAGAGTGGTCTTGCCAATAGGGGGGTGACAGCGAGGAGGGGGCTAAAATACTTGTAGTCCAGCACCAAGGGCAGAGGAAGAGTCTCTGTGGCAGATTTTAATCCCACAAGGGGGCAGGGGGTCATAACAGGAACAGTTCAGGTAAAACGGGATCGTCCCAGAAGCAGTTCAGGTAAAACAGGAAAGCATGTGCCCACGGATCTGACAGGGTGTCTGGTCCCCCAGGGATAAGAAAGTAAGACACAGATACCTGTTAGAGGTCCGGGACAGGCGAGGGGTCTCAGGCAGGCTGGCTTGTGCGGTCTCCCCCCTTTGGACTGGGGTCTTCGGCAGCAGGCAAACAATCTCCCTCCTAGGCTGGGGTCTCCGGCGACAGGCAGGCGATCTACCCCCGGACTGGGGTCTCGGGCAACAGGCAGGCAATCTACCCCTGGAGTGGGGTCTCGGGCAACAGACAGACAATCTACCCCTGGACTGGGGTCACGGGCAACAGTCGTGCAACAGGCGGGCAACCTACCCCTGGACTGGGTCTCGGGCAACAGGCGGGCAACCTACCCCTGGACAGGCGGGGTGTCACTCCTCTCCGTCTATACGGCCATAGAGGTGTGAGGTCCGCCAAAGGGGTCACTTCCCTCTCCTCCTGCGCAGCCTGCCTTCACAGGTTGCGTCAGGATGTGAGGAGGTGACGAGGGGCAGGGGGGTGAGGTGACCCCCCTCATCCTGTGCAGCCTATCTTCAAAGGCTGCGACAGGATGAGGAGAGGGGAGGGTACATGGGAAAGACACAGACACCCTCCACCTCTTCATTATTCACATATCAATTCCATAAAATTGTACTCGCTTATTGACTTAGTCGGAAGTGACCAAACGAGTCAGAGTGAGGCTGTGCGGCGACAGCAGGTGACGTTAGGAACCAGAACCAGAAGTGACGTGGGAGCGCCACTATGTGAGCGTGGTGGTGAGAGCACGATACTCACATCTAATCTAATTGAAATATGATATGCGTTTTTTTTTATTACACTTTGTGAGTGGCTTTTTAAACTTATTTAATAAATCAGAAATTATTGGTTACTGTATCATTGGAGTATATCTCTTACTTTTTTATGATTATGACATCTGGTGGAGAGGAGTAAGAAGATATATGAAGTCTATGAAGTTTACATGGCAATACCATAATTGGAGATTTTACAAGCGATACATGCCAACCATGAGAGTGGAAGGCATGTGGGTCTGGTGAGTGCATACCCAAAAGGGAAGGCTGTTTCACCAGCACGTAGTATTTTGGTTTGGGGATACTGAGCAAATAGGAAGAGTACAGCACTGAAAGTGACATCTACATGTTACAATGGACTTTATTTTCACAGTAGTGGATTAATTTAGATTTCATGACTGTTTTATTTTATTTAACTTTTCATATTGTCACTGTAGAATGTGTTTTATTCACTAGTTGGTCACAGCACCACTAGATAATTTGTGTTTGTTTATTTATTTATAATTATTGTATTTAAGGTGGCAGCAGTGTTCAATATCTGTTTATTATCATTTAAGTGACATTATTTATATGTTATATTTGAACACGCATTCAGCACAAGGGTTTTATTATTGGCTGTGTTTTAAGATATAAGTATAATACAGTTATTAACTTTAGAATCAAGTGTTTCCGATGTAAAATTTCAGTTGGAAGCACATAAAACACTCTCACTATATCTACTAGCTTGCACACAAAAACACAAACTAGGTAACAGAAGAACAAGTTGATTAAAAGGTCTTTTCAAAAAGTGACTAAACATGATATAAATTCAACCTTATCTAAGAAACTAGAGCTGATGCAGTCCAGCCAATGCAATTTTCTGAATCAGTGCCCCAAATAAAGAGCAGGTTTAACAAGCAAGGCACCAAGAAAAAAGTTTTTTGTTGGGCTGTGTATTATCTATAACACAAACTCTCCAGTGAATGTTATCCACTTCTATACAGTATAAATACATCAATAATTCTTTTCCAGCCAGCTAATTCAGACCATCTATCACAGAAATGGACTTTAATTCCCATTTGGACATATATTGATTTGCCAGTCTGGGGGTGAATTTTGACAATGCCCTCCTTCTGCAAGAAACATTTCCTTTTATAACAAAAATAATCATGGGATAAAACAATTTATTTCTTGCAATGCTACCCATCTGGCATATTTGTCTGAATGCCCCTGCGGGCTACAATATGTGAGCCCTACTACACACACAAACCAAATCAGAGAATAACATAACAGGGAACATGTGAGGAATACAACAAGTGGATATAAAATTCATATTGTTACAAAACACTTTAGCCCAAATGGCCTAACATTTTATGGAATCAACAGAATTTGTAAGAATTGGAGGGGGTAAATCTTAAAAGAGACATTTAAAACAAAAAAATAAAATGGATCTATTTAATGGATACACTAAAACCAAAGGAATTAAATATTGCAATGTTTCAAGCATCCCTGCTCTTTATCAGGCTTGAGGTCTGAAACATTGTTGGACTATCTTTGAATCTAATGAGCAATGAGGCTACATGTACACTAACCTCCCTCGGCCACAAAGCTCTCTTGGCAGCTGAGAAACACTAAATGTGGCAAAAACACACGTAAACATGGCACAGCACGTAGCGCTTGGAAATGTATTAATTTCATTGGCCAGAGTACTTGAAATGAATAAATACCAAAACGCTAAACGCACCTGACACTTAGGCATGTTTACACTCGCTTGAAAGCGGTTTTGCTGCATTTTGCATTTTTTGGCCAAACCATTTCTCTCCTGACCGTAATTCTTCTGCAATCAGGAGAGGGACGTTTAACTGCTCCTAAACACTGCTGCTAAACCCTGATAAAAAAAAACCATATGTATGCATGGACACATAGGCTTTTATTGAGTTGTGTTTAGGGGCTTTAGCAAAAAAGGCCAAAAGTTCCTAAACTCATGCAGTGTTAATGAGGCCTAAAATTTGTTCTCTGTGCTTCAATCCCTATCTCTTGTGTTTAATTATGTTTTGTGTTATTTTGTTTACTTTATGATCTTCAGGTACTTACCTGGTTGCATGTATAGGACATAAACATGTCCTACCAGTGCTGTCCATCCTCATAGACTTTGTTATATATAAGTAAATACAGAATTTTTTATATATATATTGTGACAGTGTGGCGATCTGTCACCCTGGATTCTCAACAAGGCAGGTTGAGGGGCTCCAGGGTAAATGTTTGATACGGAGGAAAGTGGCTTTTCACTTTCCTCCTTTGTTTGTAAGGTCTGTTTTGGGATCTGGAGCCTGGAGATTTCGAAGCAATTTGGGAGGGATGAAATCTCCAATCCTGGGACCAGGTTTTGGGAATGGCCAGGATACTGATTGCACAGGTGTGTGCGGGCCTTTTTATAGAGTCAGGACCAGGGTTCTGGGCTCCACCCCGGCAGATAGGAGTCAGGTGGGCTTTGCCTAGGAGAGGTGGAAGCCAAAAGCAGCAAGGGGCTGCTAGAGACTAGCTGTGTGCTAGTGGCCAGCTGTGAGCAAGAGCCATAATTCTTGAAGAAGTCTGCAGGAGGCAGACATCAAGCTGAGTGTAAGCCAGGAGGCTGAATCATTGTTTTGTTTGATG